AAGAGGGCTCCAAATTCAAGCTTCAGTCACACCTGTGGGGTCTGATTGAAATCAGTGGGGCTAGTTCAGTTCACTAAAAGATCAAGGAAGTGTCACTACCAGAAAGAATTTGGTCCAGGGTGTTTTACTTTTTAATAGTATAGGCAAGAATAATGGTAAATATGACCCATTCCTCAAGTCTCTGGGGCACAATCCTACTCCCACTTCAATGGGAATCATCGCAGCAACTGCAAACGAGTGTTTGAGCAGGTCCTACTGCATGGAATGGGAGAACTCAGGGTGCATAATGTTGCTTATTAATACACATTTACAAACAGTGGTACTTAGGTATGAGCTCCTTTACAGAAAAAGACTACTCTCTGTGGAACACATGCTTTTCTAGTCATTTGTCAGTTATTCAACAATGCTGAAATATCCCGATATCACCATTTGCTTGATTTAGAAAAATATCACTCATTACCCAGGCCTGACTCTGATGGGGGCTTTCATTTCTGTTGGAGTCTGACCTAAACATCCAGCCCCAAACACCTGACTTTTGTCCAGCTCACATTTGTATTCAAACTCCAAAACTCAAGCTTTTCTTTTAAACTAGTTCAGGTCTCTGGGGAATACTGCAGAACAAAGAACAGTAAAATACAGCGGAGTGCTTCTGGAACGTAGACTGCACATCGTTAGACACACACCCGATTGTTACAGAACTGATATAGATCAAATGCTCAGTTGACGCCTTCACAAGATACTTCCATGTAGCTTTTGTGAGAATAGTATGAATCAGCTCATTGTTTCTAATCAGTATTCTAGGGTGTGGTTCTGCTACATCAAGGGTGCCAAACTCATCTGGCCCCATGGGCTGGATTAGGCCCACAGACCAGCCCTATGCACTGGAGCCAGCATATAGAGCCTGTCTAACATGGGCGTCTCGTGCAGCACATGCCCTGGACGAGATGCGCAGGCTCTGTGTGGCATGCCGGCCCCTGCCTGGGCCTTGTGCACCGAATGCAGCACCAGAGGTGGACCATGCCACGATGGTCTGTGGGCCCAATCTGGATTGGCGCCGTAGCCAGCATGTAGGGCGCTGCATGCAACACGCCTCCCAGACCAGCTTGTGTGCTGCATGCAGTGCTGGGTCCAGTGTCACATGCAGCGCGCATCATACTGACTCCACATACTGAATGTGGCACATGGGGCTGAGGCCAGCATGTGATACATGCAGTACATGGGGTTGGTAGGAAACCCACAGACCAGATCCCAGGGCTCCACGGACCAGATTCAGCCCAGAGGCTATATTTTTTGACACCCCTGGGCTATGTAATTGCGAAAAACCTAGCAGGGAAGTCCACTCCATAAACTTACCTGACTTAGGCCTCTTTCAACATCACAGGCTGGATCAGAATTGCACCTAACTGACCCTTGAAAGACAAGAGAATCTGAAACTGGATGTAGATCTGAGCATGGAAACTCTGATCCATCTCCAGATGGAGCATGCTGGGATGGTCTATCAAAAGCTCACTTTTACATGTGCCTGGTTCTGAATGGCATTTCTGAATCAGACCCATTTCTGTGAAGAGGGGAAAATGCAGTGCTTCTTTACAAAAATGGCAGCGTTTCCCCCAAGAGAAAACCCTCTTGTGTCATAAAAACCATCAGCCCTCTCTGCTCATCTGAAAGCAGCATAAAGTAACCAACTTAACTTTTAGCATGCTGGAAGGTATTAAGGGTTCACTGATTGCTGAAATGGCACTGATTTATAAGCAAGGGAGCAAACAAATTGTTATAGAAGAATAATTCTATGGATTTCTTTAAGTCTTTGTAGTGCATGTGAAAACTTATTTGTTCTGCAATTAAAGTAAGTGCAAAGTTACTTTAAGGACTTTATTACTACTTTTTAAGATCCTCCTTATTTTTAATTGGAAGAAGAGCAGGACAACCCATTCATTTGGTTGGTATTAAAATGTGTTATTTTTTTAATGGAAGAAAAGAAAGCATAGAAGCCTACATTAAAGTCAGATTCTTATTTGAGTATATGTTTCTCATTTACTTCAGTGGGAACTAATTTTGTCTGATGGCACTAGCAGCGTTTTTGGTCTTAGTTGAAAGAAATGTGAAGACCCCCCCCCAACAATAGTTTCATAGTTTCTAGGGTCGGAAGGGACCTTAGCAGATCATCTAGTCCGACCCCCTGCCATGGCAGGAAAGAGTACTGGGGTCAAATGACCCCAGCAAGGTGTTCATCTAACCTCCTCTTAA